TTGAAGTATTTCAATTTAATCCTTCTTCTGAACTCATTTAAATACATTGAAATTTCAGCCTTTCCATCTATAGTGTGTGTGGGGGGTCAAACTTGCAATGTCATGTGATGAGTTGCGACGCATCATGACTTTTTTGCCATTGCCGGCAATGGGGTGGGCACGGTTTCTCTATGATGCATCCAGCCTGCGAGCGGGCAGTTTGACTCCCCTGATCTATAGAGTAGGATGGGATTCAGAAGAACAGTTATGGCATTGTATTACAGTAAACACATAGAAAAATGCAGCATTTGAGAAATGCTTTTTTTTATAACACTTTGTTGTTATTTTTTATGAGGGGCATCAGATTATTGACAATAAACTTAATGGCTCTGGCGTAATTCACTCTCAGGGTTCTTACAAAATTTATAGCAAGATGTTAGTTAAAATGCTGTTAGTTGTCATACAGTGTGTAGAGTTTGGAACATAACCAAATCTCCTGCCAAAAATGCATTACAGGAGATCTATAAGGTCAGTTTTGATCAAGCTTTCTTTGTTTACTTTTTCTTTTAAAGGATCAAACTTTTCTGCATAAAAACGTGGAACAGAATCTTCAGGTTCCTTTATCACACTCCATAACTGTTTTGTCAATGAGCAAACTCCATGCCATAAGGACCTTTTATGTGCCCAGAAGATATCATAAAAGAGTCTAAATGTGCCCACTCGCTCTAGACTGGCTGCAAATTTTTACGCTCCTTTTCTAAAATAACTTCAGTTGAGAAGAACAGAGATTTGCTAGCACCAAAGGCAGCTCAGAACAATATTTAAAACAAGCATTGGGTTTCTACCAGGAAAAGCACAAAAGGGGCAATGTGTGGGTGCATGCAGAGCACATATAATATATCTAAACCAGTGGTTCTCAACCTGTGGGTTGGGACCCCATTTGGGGTCGAACGACCATTTCACGGGGGTCGCCAAACAACGCATTCTGCCATTTTTTCCCTCTTTTCCTTAGCTGTGCTACTCCCTTTTATTCTATTGGCTTTTGAAAGCCAATAGAATAGACTCTCTTGAATAGAGTCTAATTCTATTGGCTTTCAAAAGCCAATAGGAATTGTCCAGGCTGTCTCTGCCCTGCTGAGCCCGCCAAAAGTCCCATTCTGCAAACGGTGCTGCACCAGTTAAGTAGTCCTTGACTTACGACCGGTTGAGTAGTCCTCGACTTATGACCGGTTGGGGGGTCGCGGCATTAAAAAGGTTGAGAACCACTGATCTAAACCAAATGAGTGAAATACTCCCAAAGTTCTTTGATTCAAAATGTAGGGTTCTAGCCTCTCTGGTAATATTTCCAAAGTGACACTGGCAGGTTAATATTTTACTGTTCAGATTTTGTTAAGGAAATACCATTTCTTGTACATTGATAAAATACTGCAACTGCTATGTGTCGGTATTGTATGCAGTTCTGGCAATAGGCAGGGGCACCTGTACTTCTCCAGCATGAGGATGGAGAATCCATGGACGGGTTTCCTTCATCTTCCTGCCCAACAGACTAAGTCTGACAAGTTGCCACGCCTCCTGCTGGGCTAGTCTGACCCAGTTCCGACTTAGTCTTGTACCCAGCAGGACACGTTGGTTCGTTTCTCAGATTCCAATAGGTTGTACCCATCCGTGAATTCTCCAAAAAATCTTATCGCAGCGTTCCTTGTGAAGTCTTCACAAGCCCTTAAAGGACCTTTCCCCCCAAAAACTTTTTTTTCCTGTCAGACAGCTGCCCAGGCCGTTTGCTGCATTGATTGATTCACTGCGCTGACGGAGCTCAGCCATCGGACTGAGCTCTGGCTTCTTAGAAGCTGCTCAGCCCTCCGCAGCACAGCTGATCGATGGACTTCCCCTGCCAGCCTCAGACCAGCTGGGCTTCAGCCTGAAGCTTTGAAGCGTTTTTGGCTTCCCTCGCTGACAGCAGACGCCATTTTGAGAGCCTCAGGCAGCCCATCTAGTCACTGAGGCACTCGAAAGAAAAAGTTCCTTCTTCTTCCCCCAATAAAAAAAAAATGTCTGACAAGGAGAAAAATAAAGAAAAGGTAACTTTACATTGAAAAATGGACATAGCAAGTCTCCTACCCATTGCAAGGATTTCTGCAATTCATTGTGGATGGATTCCAGTATTAGAATGTGCATCAAACCCATTGCTCCAAGTTCCCTTCCTGGCTTGGTGCCCTGAAGGTGTTTTGAATTTCAATTTCCAGAATCCATCGTTAGCACAATCTTATAAGTCAGGAAATTGGTTCAGGACATTTGGAGGGCTGCAGGTCGTGGATGGTAGATTTTAAAGGTGTCCATGAATGATAAAATGGAAGTTGTTACTATAAACTTGTTTACAGCACACTGGACGTTGGGAGCTTTTGTTTTAGTGGGCGGGAGAACTTAGGCAGAATTGTAAATAGAAGTGAATGATACAAACTAGTATTTTTCCATCTTCATTGAGGGGCTCAAATCAAGGGCGTCCCATTTGTTGAGGTTCTGTTTTCCGCGGTGACAGCCATGGTCTATTAAATTGCTACTACAAGTAGTCCTCAACTTAAGATCATTCTTTTAATGCAATTCAAAGTTAGGATTGCCTTGGAAAAAGTGATTTATGACTTGTACTCACACTTAGGACTGTCGCACCACCCCTATGGTCATATGATCATAATTCGGATGCTTGGAAATCAGCTCACATTTATAACTAGTTGAAGCATCCTATGATGCTGATTTTTTTCTGGGGGGGGGGAACAAAAAATATCCATTGAGGAAGCTGAATACTTTTATAACTGCATGACTACATAATTCATTGAACAACTGACATAAAAATTGTTGTAAAATCAGTTGTGATCTGACTTACAACTGCAATGACTTACAATAGAAATTCCACTTCCAGTTGTGGTAATAAGTCAAGGACTACCTATATTCCACTAACATGACTTTTTATTTTGAATAATTGTATCATACTGAAGGATTTTCTCATAACCATAAGGCTCAATATTGTTTTAACCGATGTGTGTATTGTTTGGTATCTATTAAAGCAAAGAAGCTATTCAGTACTGATCTAAATAATAAAAGAGAAATTGCTCCATACATTGCAAATTCCCCGAGGTCGATTTTTCGATTGGCACATAACGTGAGAGTGATTGATTTCCCCAAATCTCTATAAATGTAAAAGACTTTTCCCAGCACGGAAATTGGAATGGCGGTATTGCCATTATAATTGTCATTGCTGTTGTTGATGATAATTGTGGACAAATTACTGTAGAATAGTTAACTAACGGCTAGGGGTTGGAGATTATAATTTAGATTCTAGATGCTTGGCTGCACGTGCTCTGTCATTGTGCCCAGATTAGCAGAGTGGGATATTTAAGGAAGACTTTATTTCAGCATCCTCAGTGATAGGTCTGGGAAGAATGTGAAAAAAAGATTTTCTAGAGAGCTGCTTAAGATGAGTTACAATTAGTACTTGAATAGGACCTTGGGAAGTTGAGGGCTGCAGACGAGAAATCATACTCTCTCTCTCTCTCTCTCTCTCACTTACAACTGTTGCAGCCTCCCTATGGCCATATGATCTAAATTCAGAGACTCAGAAATTGCCATGTATTTACAACAATTGCAGCAACTGGATTTAGGTGATCGTCATTTGTGACCTCCCCAGCTGGCTTCCTACCAACAAAGTCAGTGGGAGAAGCCAGATTTGCTTACTACAGTGATTTGTCTAACAGTGACAAAAATGTTGTAAAATTGGGAGCAACTCACTTAACAACATCCTTACTTAATAAATGAAATTCTGGCCCCCATTGTGGTTTTACGTTGATGGCTACCTATATGCCTATATAAGGAGTCCTGCTCAACTTGAAAGTAATTTTACTTTTTCAGTCATATAAATGGGAATTTACCTAAGGAAAGCCACTCACATGGCAATGTGTGAAGTAACACTCTGTCTTTGGGTTGGTTTCAGCAGTCTTTTTCTAGAGTATCTTAATTATATCTTTAATCATGTTTTAATTATATTGCTAGCTATTCTGAGTAGTGGAAAGACAGGACATAAAACCCCCAAATAAATCAAGTCATCAACAAGATGGACTCAGGTAATCGCTTGTATTTTTTTTCCCCTTCCATAAGAAGGAACAGTTATCTTATTGAGCAATGGATATAATTTCCCCCCCTTTGGTCTGGAAACCTTTCCTTATCTTTATCCTCTAAGATCTTTGAGGACAAGTTATCAACAGTGATGTCACTGGAGAGGGGAGGAAGAAATTCTAAAAATTCTTCATTTTTTAGGTTTTGAAATTTTAAAATAGAAAATGTCTGTGTTGGATCTTTCAGAATCTTAGTGTTGACTGTTTTATTGCTCAAAGGGAGAAAAACAGTTAATTGCTTCTGGATTTTGGACATAGCTCTGGAAGATCCTGACGGTTGCTGAACTTGGGCCAGATCTATTTCAGAGCCTAAATGCACATGCCCCTCCGAATCAGGTTTTTATTGGAATAGTAAGTTGACTAGACAGACAGGCAAACAGACAGGCAGACAAACTGCCCTGCTGCAGAGATAATTATCTTGGTCCAATGGCTCGTCAAGCTCTTTTCCTTCTAGCATCATCATGGGTGGGATCTTTCCCAGCCAGACTCCATCTCCTTCCCATAGGATTATGATTTATAGCTGACAGTGCTCAGTTCACCCTTGTGGTATAGTCAACTGTGTATCTTATATTGAGATTATGTCTCATGGACAGCCCTGGGATGAATGAACTCCCTATGAAGTTTAATCATCTTCATTACTGGATGGCACATCCTCATGCTGGGGCTAATGAGATGCTACTGGAATGTTCACTCTTCAGTGTGGCAGTGTTCACTTTAAGATTGGACATCTTGGCTGTGATGACTCACAAATGCAAAATCTTAGAGCAGTGCTCTGTTCAAAGCCTTTTTCTCTCTTCACTCAGAGGGGTTGTATCTTTCATTCCCTGGTTTGAAAGGAGGAACAGAATGACAAATTACCTTTGGCACATAGCTGTTGACAATAGCAGCATATCTGAACCTCTGTTAAGACACTGTAATAGAGAAGTGGAGGTAGGACAGGGAAAAACACAGTGTGATTGTATCAGATTGAGTGTCATTGGTTAGTTGCAGAGTATAAATCAGTTACATAAATAACTTATGCACATTATTAATATGATCAGCAAGGGAGAGAATTCAGGACTATGTTTTTGTAGCAATCTCAATACTGAAAAATACTGTACTATTTAGGAGATTAGACAAAACAGCATTTTAACATGTAAATTCCATTGCTACTGAAATTTGGGTAGCAAATATTGATGTTGTTTTTATGGCTTTTGCAAAGATTTCATGTTTGCTTTTTAGCTTAACTATATAAAGTCAGAAGACAAGCTACGGCTATTTATGTTAGCAAGATAAAGCTTTGTCCCTTCCAGTCATCCTTTCCTTAGATTGAATTGGCTGCTGGCTATTGCTACCAATCACACCACTATTGCTTGGAATTTTGAAAGAATGCAAATGCAGAAGTTAAACTGTTGTCTAGGTGTGATAGCCTGGATGTGACGAACCCACCCACATCTGTTCAAGTTCTTGTTAAGAACAAAATGAAAAAGAATGGTACTTTTCACTGAAGCCTCCTTCAGTTGAGCAGCAGTCCGTATACCCATGCTCTTTTCAGACACAGTCAACATTACCTTATATTTCAAGCATTACAAGAGTCTCTGCCTCCTAGCTTTGTTCTTTCTAAGTGGTAGTAGCAGTAGACAGTAGGAACATGTGAACACTTTGAGCTAGTCTTGACAAAAAGTACCAACTATGAGTAGTAATACTACCTTTATTAATAGCAGAATCTTGAAAATCTGAATGTACTTCTTCCCTCCCTTACTTTTACTCTCCCAAAAACTAAGGAAGGTCCCTTCTCAGACATTTTCTCCTTTGGACTCAGTTTTTGTTTATCTGACCATTGCCTAGACCAGAGGTGGGGAACCTTGGCTCTTTTACGACTTTTGGACTTCAACTCCCAGAATTTCTAAGCCAGCATGGCTCGCTCAGGAATTCTGGGATTTGAAGTCCACAAGTCATAAAAGAGCCAAGGTTCCCCACCTCTGGTCTAGGCTGTGGTTCTTCTTCCTATTTCCCAAGGTCATTCCTACTTACCATTGTAGAACTATGGCAAGAGTTGCTGGAAATTGTCCCTCTTGGTGTAGGTACAATGAAGCCTTTGAGTCCAGTGATCTCATTCAGTATGAGGCCATTCTCTATATTCTTGCTGCCATATTGTTGACATCTGTGATGTCTGTTCTTAACCATTTTCTCAATAAACCAAGGAAGTCCTTTGGATTGGCAAACAGGGGGAAGTCATTTTGGAATAATTTTGTCCAAGGACATAGTTAGGGGACAACCGAAGTCTTGAAAGATCTATTCCCCAGAACATTGGAAAATTTTATGGGTGCCCTCTAAAAAATGCACAGTTCTATTCGTTACATGAGATGGACTCATGAAACATATTCCTCCTCCCTGTAAAGGATGGTGGCATCAGTTGCTTCAAGAGCAATGAGAGAGAGATCTAACCATACAAAGATAAAGATGGGTTATCTATGGAATGGTACCGCTCTGCATGTGGATAGGTTTGTGTGATTAGGTTTAATTTGTCCTTTTAGTCCTTTACAGTAAGGACTAAAGTTGATGCACATCCAGTTTGGATCAACCTGGATAATTCCAGCTGAAATTGGATGCAGTCTGGGAAACACTCCAGTCTGGAGTTTATCACCACAATCAGAATGTATAACTTCCTGTACCATCACACATTGTTCCTGGCTGATGTGCAAAGAACGACAGCATACATGGTGGGGAATAGGATAAGACGTTATTGTTTTCTGGTCATTAATCCTTTTATTAATTGAAGCTGCTTCTTGTGTTGCTTGAGTGAGCGGGCCTTGCTCATTCCCTCATTACTCTTCCTGGAGTTTAGTCATTCAAAAGACAGAGTCTTTTGAATGACTAAACTAAAGGACAAATAGCTCTTCATGTTTTCCTTCTTGGAAATGAAGATGTGTTGGCTGTGAATGTGAGCACTTTTACTTCACTTAGCCATCGTCAGTGCAGCATGTAACTTTAATAAACATTCAAGCAGATACCCTAATTGCCCCCTCCCCCTCCCTTTCCCCCTTTTCATTACAATTTCAGATTAAAACAACTCCCAGGAGTCCCTTGGAATCTTGTCCCCGCCACATGTATTTCTTCAAGTACTGCTACTACTTTGTTAAGTTACACACAAAAAAAGATTTTTATTGCTTAAATGAGCTCCCAGCTAGTGTGGCTTAATATACTAACTAATTGATTTTTAAGGCTGGAAAAGCAGTGAAGTTTAATAGCATTTGCCAATTCAGCTAGAAAATAGAGGGAGAGTTGCTTGCAGACATGGCTGAAAGAGAATCATTTGCTTCAAGTGCAGATGTAGACTCTAGACCCTGGACTAATTTTCTTCTTTTATTTAAAATATTCATACCCAGTTTCTTTCATAATCTTGATGCAATTTACAATACTAAAGCCACCTGAAGATGGCATGCACAGTTGAAAATGGTAGCATAACTATTGCTTTACTCATCATTAAAGATAGTAGAGAGTAAAGAAGCTTTCTCAGGGTTGTGGCCAACCTCTGTGTGTCCAACCGCTGATCTGAGAAATGGGCATGAAGACTGTCAAAAGCAGAAAAAGGACAGAAGTGAAAAATCTTGACATTTTCAACCAGTCAGAATACTATACAGTAGAGAGACAATTTTCCTAACATTGCTTGCTTATTGTAAGTGTAGCATTTGATTCCCATTATTTCTTACTTACTTACTGATTTGGATTTATGCCTTTTGAACTAAGGGGTGAGATAGTTGAAATTTGAAGTGGGATAGTTATATATCTGGGTGATTATGTGATTTTCAAGTAGTGTCAAATTGAGGGTTCCATTGTATATTGTTTCTGAAATGTTTACATGTTCCCACTTTATAGAACCAACGAAACTATTGGGTGGTGATGAGATAGCAGGAATCTGACTAAATAGATATATTTTTTATTCAGTGTTTGTATTATATTTATGTAGCATTTAAAATTGCAATTACTCAACAGATTAAGGGGTGGGGAAGTAGGGCCTGGAAGCTGATCCTGCCCCTATGAAATAACCTCTTTCTGAGATACAAATCACCCCAACAAAAACTTGTCTCTTTGGAGATGAAGACTCATGCTTGGGATTGCTTTTAATCCTTAACTGCAACCTCAGGCATCCCAGACCAGTAAAAGTAAACAACACAAAAACAAATATGAAAGGACAGACAAAAATTAATGCAAGAGAAATTTAGTTTTCAGGATACATAAACTGCCATATTCAGAACTTGGCAACATTGTAAATGGGCTGAAAGTTCACGTTGGGTAATAACTATCCAACCGTAGGGTACTGTAGGAGAAGAGCAGGCAGAACTGGAAGACGGAGTTAAGTGAATCATCAGCCTAGAGTTATGTACTCACAAATGGTCTATGTCCAAACCCTTAACAGTAAGTTAAGACAATTGATAAAATGTATATTTAAATAATCCATCAAAATCAAAATAAAATCATTAAATCACATCACAACAACATTGGCATGTTATTAAACAGCTGGGAAGAATAAAACTAAAGATAGTGATCAGTAGACCCAAATTGACTGAATATACACACACCCTTTGCCTGAGTTATGGTTTATAAATCACAACACACTGAGCCCACAATCAAACAAAATCACATAATGGCTGAACGTGAGATGTGAATAAGGCCAGATAGTCTTTGGATGCTTCATAATTGGCGGTTTTCCAAAACCTGTTTTATTTTTGGGGTACTCTGTTAAGAATGCACTCTGCAGTCAGCTTCAGGACAATTTCTAGATTTCTGAAGGCATAGTGGTGATTTTATATTTCCAATACAAATTCGTACTTGGAAAAAGAGGTTAAGTATTGTTTTTTAGAAGGAATTATTTTTTTAAAAAAGAGTAAACTCTTCAAGAGGCCCTAGTGAAATCTGAGTAGTGCCACTCTGCAGCCTGTTTCATCCTGGTTTTCAGCATAAAAACAACAAATAAGGTGCTTGGACTTAAGACTGTGATTGTTGGGATAATCCATCTTAAAGTGCAGGTTAGCTGAACTTTAATTGACTGCTGCTAATTGGAGAACAAAATGCTAGCTTTTAGTTAGTTAATCTTTCCCTCATCTTTTACACAGTTCTGCCCACATGAATCTATTTGCAGATCACACAGTCATTAAATCTGTTTGGTTTTGGTAGAATACACCACCCTTCCCACCCAAATATTGGCCATTAATGATCTGTGAGAAAATTGTAGTTTTGGTGCCAAACTAATTTGATTAAAAGGTTCTCCCCTCCTTGGATAAGATTTGATCCTTCCCCCTGCTTGGAGGATGAACAAATAGGTGTAAATTAGAAAGCCGTAGAAAGGGAAGGAAGGATTTTACAAGGACACTTGGAAGTCCTTAAAAAAAAACACCTTACCTTTCCATTTGATGCTGTGCAGCTTCTCTCCTCACATCAATGTTTATTGGGTTGTAGGTTTTATTTTTATCCAGCATGTGTTGCTTAGCTGATTATATTTCATCAGTGGAGCTGAGCCATCAAAAGAAGAAAATATATTCTCACAGCGCTTGGAGTTTTATTCATATGGTGAACTGGGTCTAGCTCCCCCCCTTTCTACTCCACATCTTATCGTTTTAAAAAAGGCTGGGTAGCCAATTCTCATGGATGGTTTGGTTAGGTTTTTGGCAGTGTTATAATTTAGATAGATATAACTGCTCAATTTGCAAAATTGACTCTAGATGACCTAGAAATACAAATAGAGTAGAGTAGAGTAGAGTAGAGTAAAGTAGAGTAGAGTAGAGTAGAATAGAATAGAATAATGAAAGAATAGAATAATAATAGAATAGAATAGAATAGAATAGAATAGAATAGAATAGAATAGAATAGAATAGAATAGAATAGAATAGAATAGAATAGAATAGAATAGAATAGAAATAAGAGCAAGAGAAGCAACCAGGGTGAACTAATACATATGCCATTCAGAGGTCTTATATCCTTCATAGATTCATTCCACAATCTGGTTTAATGACCAAGATTACATGAAATTATATTGGCAGAAATCTATCTGTCTGATTATCTGCCCATCTGTCTATTTAACTAGTTCAATCTCTCAAATTCCAAAAACTGAAAGTAGGAGTGTGTTTGCATGGGAAGGGGGACAGATCAGAATGATTCTTTTTAAAAAGAGAGAGAGATCTTTTCTAACATATTTTTATTATTATTACCTTTTTGATATGTCAAGGGATATTTCCCTAAACTAGAAGAAGCAAATATTGTTTGAAACTTTTCTTCCATTCTCCTCCTGTTTGTAGTGCTCCAAGGACAACTAATATTATTAGAAAATCCGTTGCAACCAACTGATTGGGATCTGGATTCTTATAAGGCATCTCATTTGCCTTTATCTGCACAGCTCATAGCTAGTACTGTTCTCTTCATACTGTGTTATTTTTGTACTTTTTTCATCATTAAAATGTCAGTGTTCCCTAAAAATGCACTGTAAAAATGAAAATATAGGCTTTCCCCCCCCTGAAATTTGTTTTTTTAGCCAAAGAATTATACTCTTTTAACGATACTATCAACATTGTGACTATTTTCTGTTGTCTGAACAAGTATAGATGAAAGCCAAACTTAGTGGTTCATAGACAATGGCATTGGTATGAAGCTTGGGGCTGAGAAGCTACCGAGAATGCCTTTTGCACTTTTGAATAAAGTTGAAAAATGACAATATGACTGCAGAAAAAAAGACTGTAGAGCAGCTCCACCTTAATTCAGATTAAATGATTTTAATTAATGTAACCTTACATTTCCAGACGTGAGTTTGGGTATATGTGTCTGATTATACAGTATCCTCATTTTGAACACACTTGCACTTTGTGTCCTGTGAGTTACCTTTTCTCATCTAACTATCTTTGAGCTTACATTGCTAATAACTGGCTGTGTTTTCTGATGCCAGGATGAAGATCTTGCCTTTCCTTTCTCTTTTAAGACATAAACATGAAATTGAAGAGTGTGAAAATATTTTCAAATGTAATTTCTCATGCAAGATCATTTTTTGAGCTATTTTTCTAATCAAAGTACACTTGCAGCAGCATACTATTCCCAACATTCTTCATCAGTTTCTGTTATTCCATCTTTCCCTGGTTTCTGAAACTTCTTAAGAAGTTAGTCAAAGCTGAATCATTTCCACCCTGTTTAAGAGGTCA